TAGATGGAGTAGTTGACTTTCAAAATTCAAGCCACCTGACCAAACAGCTCAAGCTGACTAGCTATGAAATATGAACACTGTGCAAGGCATAATCTTCTTAGTGAGCTGAAATAGTATTTCTTGAAATATCCTCTTTATTAGAGATAATGACCTGTTGGATTTTCTTTGATCATGGTGTTCCTGTCCCAACAAAACAGGGAAGGAATGTCAAAGAATGTAATATCTCAGAATATCTTTGTGGGAGTGAGTATGACCTGGACTAATGGCTCCAAATGAGGGTAAAAATTGTAAAAAGGACTTTCACCAATTGAATAATATCAAATTATATCATATGATAAGGTAAACCCAAAGAATGCTGGAAAAATGTGTTTGATATGCTTTAAAGAGATAAACAGGATAAATAAGGATAATTTTTCGAATAAACAAATTCAAAGACAAAGCATAATACCAAGTCTTAGTGGACATCACATTCAATATATTTAGTCAAATATTAGGTCATTAAAGCTAGGCACTAGCACACGGAGCCAATCGATAGGAGTCATTTGATCAGCTAGCAACTGCTGGATACTGATAATATCTTATTATATATGGGTCATACAAAAATAGGCAGGTTTATTTAGGTCAACATCAGCACAAACTCATTTTCCTTTAATCTGAGATGTTCGCATCTGCATGATTTTTGACGTTCTGTAGGTAAATGTTTAACCAGAACAGATTATCATGTGTTCATTAAGGAAATGCCTTCCATGTGATTCCAACTGATATCCAAATCAGTACACAGAAATAGGAAGAACACAGTGCACACTGCACAGGAATCTTTCCAAGCTCATAGTGCCACATGAGAGGATTGTCCAAATAGCCCCCTATGGACTCAACATGAGTCACAAGATTCCAACTTTCCAAAGACATCCAAGCGCATATGCTTAATGACATGATTTCTGAAGGAGTCATGCCAGCAGCCAGCACAGCTATGACCCACATCACATAACACTCAGAATCCACCTAATGTTGAAGGCTGAACATTAAGACAACCAACTGATAGCTTAACCAGTATTTTCCAGTGCACAGACATAGTAATTTTCTTTCCACTATACCATTCAAAAGTATGGGCTCCGTAAGATTTTCGTCATGTTTTTGAAAGAAGTCTCTTATCACACCAAGGCGCATTTATTTAATCAAAAATGCAGTAAATACAGTAAAAGAGTTATATTGTAAAGTATTATCAAAATACCTGTTTATTTCAAATTTAATTTAAATTTAAAACATCATTTATTCCTGTGATAGCAAAACTTGAATTTTTAGCATCATTACCCCACTCTTCAGTGTCACATGATCCTTCAGAAAGCACTATATTTGGGGGTCCCTGACATCAAAAAGTTTGAAAACCACAGCACTAGATATGGTAAAACCAAACTCACTCTATTTTATCATACTTTCAGCACTCAGTGGTTCCCTAGCTGGAGTTTATTCAGTGTTATCAGGAAAAATACCTGACAGACAAACAGAGAGGCCTTTTCCTCAATGCTGTTTGTTCCAGTCAAACATCAACACAGCTCTCCTCACTTCACAAAATAAACCATACACAGAGCCAGACTTTACTATCTCTGTACTGATGTTTGGAAAACAAAACATGTCAAACATGTCTCCATATCTCTGCTGCTGCTTCTTATCATTCATAACTAGTCAAGAAGACATGTTTATATAACCTCTCTGTTCTAACAGTTTGCACAAATTAACCCAAGAGTGTAAATGTTCAATGTACATTACAGATCTAGCAATGTAATTTAAAGTCTCAATGATAATTAATAGGGCTCTAATATGGTAGTTTGTTTTCTTAACGATGTTCTCCAATTCATCATATTTGTTGTGCTCTATTCAGGTATGCAGATCAATGTTTATAAGTGATTAAAACCTAAATTAAATTCTGTTCATCATAAAAAACAATCATATCTCTTCAGACAACTTGGATTAAACTGCTCAATTCATTCAGATTTTTTTTTT